AAACTTGTTTACTATGTTTACTAAACTATACTACAGTTTGTTGACAGGGCTATGCTATGGTAAACTCAGAAAAGCTCCACGGCGCAGTTTGTAAACATGCAGTTAAAAAAAAAGAAACTTGCATATAAAACATGGTAATATGAATTAATATGACATTGCACGGGATTCTTACGCATTTCCGTTGTCTTCACACCTCTGCTTCCGGAGCACAGGAAGGCTGTTCAATCTATCATGCTGGTTTTTGATAGCTCATTAAAGTGATTCTTCATTTTAAAGGCCAGAAATGGCCATCACTTGTGTTGCCCTTTGTCAGTGGCCCAGTTAAAAGCTTTTGCAGATTTGACCTTGAAAGTCCATTCTGTTAAACAAAGGCAAGCCGGATGGACATTCCCAGAGCCCTACAGTCTTCTAGCTGTCCTCCGTGGGTGGCAGCCCTCTACAAGTGCCCCCAACAGCTCAATAAAACACAGTGTATGTCTCTATCAGGCCCCCTCACTGCTCAGCAGGTACAGGAAGCCTTATCTCCAAGAATAAAGGATTAACCTCAAATTTACATCCAGTTACAAAAAGACCCACTCTCTGTGTTTTTCTTCCTTTGCAACTGTCTAATCTCCGTCTGCCTGCAGGACTCCCATAGCCCTTTGTGCTTCTGGCAGTATTGCACTGTCTGGCATTGTGGATTGGCTTTCCTCACGGGTCTACAGTGACACACAGCCTAACACAGAAAGAACAGGGACACAGGATTAGCTAGAAGATTCTGACTAGAGGAAATTTCCTTCATTACCAAACGGGTTGAAACAGGAAACAGCTCCCTCGTTTTCTAGTGACTGTGTCTTTTACTGTATGTCTTCCAATGAAAGAAACACAGAAACTGGGCCCAATTAGGATGACCAAAGCAATGATACAGGGCTTTAATGGAAAAAAAGAGAGAAACTTAAATTAAAATTCCACAGAAGAAAGCCACTGGTAAAACAGACTTGATCTTCGTATTAAATACATGTGGTAAACAAATACATAAAGACATTTTTTAGCTATGACCCACCCATCCTAAACAGGCAAGACTACTGAAGCAAGAATGCTTGCAATTGCTTAGTGCTTGAAAGGCCAACGGTTAAATGACACAAAAATGCCGCCATCTTGAAATCTCGGTATACAAAATGTTTGAAATCCAAAGCCAGGCAGAATCCAGATCTACCAACCGTGAACTCAGTTCAGCTTTACGGATTGACACGGCTACCTGGCTTTCTTTTTTTAATTCAAAAGCTTTCAGCTTGTAATTTTACATTTATTTAGTAATTCGTTGTGATATGTCTGTCAACATACCGCGTACAGATTTCAAGACATGAGCAAACATTCTGTGCTGTATATGATGTCCTAAAAGACACGCTTTTGAAGCACTCCAATTCTGAATAAACATCACAATTATATCAGGATGGTGGCAGATACTGTATAAAAATGTAGACCAAACTTTGATTTTATCACTGTAGGAATAATGTTTTATTATTGCGGGTTAAGTATTGTCCTGTTCTCTGCCTTTACCCTGACCCTTAATCTTCACACTGCAAACACTACCAAGAGATGTGAATGCCAGTCCAGAACCACCTGAAACATTTGTTTCTGTATAGCACACATCACAAGTGAAGAAATCTAATTTGATTCTGATACAAGCACATTCTCCTTCTGCCTTGTGTTAAAAGTCTGTAACCACCTGAGTGACAGCATATTTGTCACTTTTTAAACGAGCATTCACTGGACTCAATTTGCACACCACGTCTGTACACTAATTGCATTTATTCAATGTTTTCAGAGCTACAGGCTGCTTGAAAAGTACAGAGATCCACCAAGTAGGAATGATTCCAGTCCTGTGTCAACATCAGTATCCAGCAGACGCCATATGAAATTAAAGGTTGACTGGTTGAAAACTACAGCTCACCAGGGAATTGCCTTGGACAAAGTGCAAAGGAACTTATGCTTCACACTACAGTATGAAAAGAATGACTGCACTGTGTTCTTTTAGCCATGACCCACAGAATTCTAGGCATGCAAGACTACTGAAACAAGGATGTCCTGAAGCGTGGAGGATGTACACCTGACAGCTAACCAGAGGCGGGTTTTTTTTTTACAGAGGAACAGTGTCCCTTTGTCTGTCCAGTCCTATGGGTCCACAGTCTATGCAGACCAGTCTTCTCACACATTCTGACTGCCTGCTGTGCTGACCAGCTCCACTGCTACTCCTGCTCCTCACAGGAAACCAGGATACAACCGTAGGATCGCTTTACTTCGACCAAGGTCATCAGTCCTTCTCAGCAGGGGAAAACGCAGGCTGCACATGTAAGTGATTATGTGTGCCCTATAGACCGACCAAATCCACAGCACACTGAAATATGTACTGCTTGGAATTTGTCAACAGAAGTGATTCCTAACTTTCACAGCTGTGGGCATGAAGGCCATTGTTTTGGTTATTTCAGGTCAGCATTGCTGTATAATGACACAACAAAGGTCAGGAACATATCCTGAGGCGAATCCAGGGCGATAAGGTTACATATCTGTGATTACGACATGAAACCCAATATGCAATGTGGATGTTTTTGGAGTTGGTTGCTGATTTTGCTCTTGTCTGGAGCACCATGCGCAACATCTGGGGTCATCTGAATCAGTTGCAGCCTCTATTGCTATCACTGTCTCCCAGGAGGCTTGGACTTTGAAAACAACAACAAACCGCGTGCTGGCCTGCATGAACTCACTGTTAGTACATCAGAGTCGACGCAGAGGAGGTCATTCAGTCCATTTGGCGTATTTGGTTACATTTCCCTGTAGTCCGTTAGCCAGCGTTGGCTGTATTGGGAAAGGAATCCTCAAGTGTGAAATTGTCTTGAACTCCTGCCAAACAATTGATCATGCCTGACCTGTGTGTTTAAGCGAGGAATGAGGAACAGATGGAGAACATGCAGACTTCACACAGTCAAGCATCACAAACTGGGTTTGAACCCCAGGAAAGTAGAGCTGTGAGACACCAGTTCTAACAGCTACGCCACTGTGCTGTCCTGTTGCAAAGGCACCCTGAACCCACGAGAAGGCCTGAAGCCCAGGGCCAAAAATGAGACTGGAAGGAATTTCCTGTAATGCGTTATTATTGGCTGAACAAAAACATCCTCTTTTTTTTCTGCATTGTTTGTCTTGCTGCTCTACAACAACGCCCATTTATAGCACTTTTGGCTTTTGAATGGTGCCCAGCGGGTCTTAAGAAGAATAATAGATGATAAGCATAAAAAGAAAACATGCAAGTTAAGTAGACAGGAAAGATATCTACCTGTACCTGAGAGGTCGTAAAAGGGTTTGAAAACACTTTCAATATCAAACCACTCCTGAAATTGTATTCAAGATGCTTTTGCTACTATTTTGAGTAGTGTAAAGAAGGATCTTAGGATATTAAATGAGTTCAGTCAGTTACAAATTATGAGTCAAGGAAATAATGTCTTCGCTGTAGAGTGAATCAAACATCAAGAGCCTGATTGTCACAGTGGCCATAATAACATGTTTTTGAAAGTGAGCAGCAGGCACAAAAGCTACATAGTCACAATTCTAGCTACAGTATATGTTTAGATGGCATTCAAGAAAATCACGAGGCTAAGATCAAAGATCTCAAAGCCAGGAGCTACACAGGAGAAGTCTGACCACACATTAGGAGAGTGACAGGTCTGATATTATCACATGAAATATCCCCTAACAAAGTGACTCATGCAAAAGATAGCTCAACACCATTGCAGCTTATAACTCATTCTGAATGGTTACCTCTATAAAAAATAAACAGGCCCTTTGGAGCAACACTATTGCATGATGAATTAAAACCTGGAACTATGCATTCAGCCAAAATGTCCATCAAACTAATAAAAATAAATAAATTTGAGTTCCAGTGCACCGTTCATGAATACACATCAACAGCAGGTTTTAAAGCAGCCGTGTAAAATCTAATAAAATAGCTAAACTAAACACATTAAGCTTTCAGTGCAAAGCTGAATTCTGCATTCCTGATTTATAACACAAACTTGTATGAAATCCAGGGAACATCAGGAGATGGGATTGGAGAAAGAAGCTGGTAAATGTCTGGAGAATTCCATAAATCCAGAGGCAGGAGTGGCACTTCAGATAACCATGGGAGCACAGAATGAAGAGCAAGAACTAATTTGGTGGAAGTTGGACAAGGCTGTGTCGGAACATAAGCATTGCAATACCGAATATGCTTGCAATGTCTGAGAAGAAGCCGATAACAAATGTATTTGAAACCAAGAAAAGGAAGCATACTTTTATCCAAGGGCCCGGAGGAATACAGAACAAGCTACAGAACAAACCCTGGCCTCTTCAAGAAAGGGCTGGATGAGTCTCTTGGATCAATGACCAAAATGGGCAAGATGGGTCAAACAACAAACTAAATGGCCTTCTCTCATTTGTAAGCTATCTAATGCTCTCCGCAGAAGAGATGTCATGCCACTGTCCCTTAGATACCTGATTGAGTTCAATAAGAGAGCAGACTAAGTCAATTTGACCCGCTGCACACTCAAAGATGTACAGAGAAGGCAGGAAATGGACAGAAAATCCATTATTAGAGTGTTTCCTATCTGCAGTTAAGTCTAGTTTTATCCAGCTATCCAGTAATGGATTAATTTACACTGCACTTAGACTGCAGAAATTTAGAAGGTGATCATTTTACATTAGCTGCCGAAAAGGTTAGAAAATGATGATCAGGGATTCTTGGGTCTGAGGAACACACATGTAGTGGAATCCTAATGCTTTTTCAATTATTGAAGATACTCTACCTGCCTTTGAGAGATCCCACATGTCAGGCAACAAAGCACAAACTGCAGCTGAGCTGGTATGCCAGAGGTCTTGGATGGGGCTGTGCCCCATGTTAATGCCATCTCCCATCCTGCCCTTTAAAGCTCAGAGTGTCCGCTGGGCTGGAGAGGTTGGCATGGCGGGGGGGCGGGTTGCTCTGTACTCACCATACTGGCAGCTGGGCCCGTGGAATCCGGCCGGACAGTGGCAGAGCTGGGAGGTGCCCTCCACACACTGACCCCCGTTAAAGCAGACGCCGTAACTGCAGAGAGCTGCAGAGACACCACAAAAGAGAGCTGTCACAGGCACGCAGTCACACCTCTCCCGAGAGCACCACCTGGCTTCGAAGTGAAACCCGGGCAGAGTGAAAAGAGAAACAGAGTGCTTGCAATGAGCTCTTCAGGACATTATATTTAGATATTGCCTGATCGCATTCGGTAAAAACGAGCAGCTACCCAATATGCATTGTGAAAATAGCCCTTGATATTAAATTCTTTTAAAGATGAGATCTCTTAAATAATATATGAAGCGCATATGATTATTGTAAAGTAATATCATGGTATTGTATAGTATTTAAAAAAAGACTAAGAGGTCCTGAATTCTTTATCTAATTATAGGACCCATTTTTCAGGTTTTGCCGTTTACTCTAACTTGTCCAATGTGGACATTTGATCCCAAAAGGTACGGAGTTGATTCATTCTTACAGATTCTGTAACCTAAACAGAGCTAACTTACTGTGGCAAAAGACTGATCGCCGGCCTTAACAAGGCAGATGTCACCTGAATCAATTTCAAACAAGTAAGAAGCCCAACGGCTGTCCTCATTCGAATTATCAGTGTTCAAGCTGGGCGTGCTGCCAAGCTCTTCGAATAACCCTCAGCCAACCGGGGCTAGTCTTGTATTTAGGGGAAAAATACAGCAATCAAATATAAAAGACAAATATTAGAGCTTCTACAGACAGAGAAATATGTTTAAACAAACAGCATAGGCAAGTATTTAAACAAACCAAAAAAAGACTGAAAGAGAAAAATAATTCAGATTGCCTGCTTCTTTCTTTTCCAAACCGGAACCTCTTCGTGAGATCAGACACTGACAGTCAGTGAGCCTAACCTACAGTCCAAAGGCCCCCTGATCTCCTTCAACAAACACATTACAGGCTACAGAGTAGAGCTGGTGATGGACGGAGCACACTGGTTTTTCTCTGGCACTGCAGACAAGGCAGCGAATAACAGATAGCGATTAATTCCAGCAAAAATCACACACAACCCTTGCCTCTCCTCTCCCATTTCAGCTGAGGAACAGAAGAAATAAATCAGCTGTGGTCTGCTACATTCTCTCAGCACAAGAACGATCAGTTGCTTTTTACTCACAGTTAAATAAATGACATTTTTTCATGGTAATCTGTTAACATGCTGATTTGCCAACAGCATGACCAAATTTGTCTGTTTACCATGTGTCTTATACGCATTGTCATTCACACTGGTGACTATGTTCTCCTGCATTATGGTCAAGGGGATATTCAAAATGATGAATGAATGAGATGTGCTGCATTTAATTTTTTGTTCAGGAGTTTTTGCATCATTGTCAGTCACAAACTCTCTTCTCTAGGGATTCAAATCCCTTAAAACTGAAGACAACCTTATGTTGAATACCTACAAATTGATTTAATCTCCATACAGTCTAACATGATAATCCACTCTTAGATTTGAGGAACTAACACTTTCTAAGACTAGGAAAACAACCTTCCACACATACATCCCAGGACTATAGCTTATAACCTTGAATATATTTGTTAAATCCAACTAGGATTTGTATGTAAAAGTTAGCCCAGTAGGGTTAGGAGGTGAGATGATAAAATGTATCCGTTAATATCTTCTACGGGGCTTATTTTATACAATGTGACGAATATGCATAGTAGGGTATGTGAAAATGATCTGTTTATGTATTTAACCAGGAGGATACCTGAATTCAAATTCAAAGTGAGGCCAGGCCACAAATTCACAATGTCCAACCAAACAAACGTTTCATATTAAAATATGATCATCAACACACTTGCATTTTTCACAATATTAGTTTAAGCAGAAACCTTTGTTTGTACAAAAGTGACTTAAATGAACTACCAAAAGCCTGAAAAAAGAGATTTTCTGTGATTTTTCCAGGAGATAAGTATTGTTTTTTCGTAACAGAGATTATAATGTTCAGAGGAGAACCATTAATTTTAGAGTTAACAATGTTTCTTGTTTTCTCAACAATTATCTGTGAGGTTCTTAAGGCCTGTAAACCACAAATTATTCAGCTCTGGATTGACATCATGAACTTAAGTTTCTAAGTTTCCTCATGCAAATGGGAAAAGGTCAAAGACTGACGCTTGCACTGCACCCTCTTCTCTGATTGATGCACCCAGGGATTTTTAGTAATGGCCTGTGGATTCTCAATCTCAGAATGTGAAGGTCAGGTGTGCTGAGCAATTAAAAAAGTGTATAAAAATCCTGGAGGCAGAACCGATTTTAAATAAACATTTTAAGTGCTTGTTATTCCAAAACAGCTGACATCTGTGCCGAGGAATTTATTCTCTGTACACTCCACATGCTAAATACTGTCAGCACAGCAGTGTTTAATCATGTTACGCGAGCGTTTGAATTAGTAATACTACAAAAGTAAGGGAACAGGCCAAATCTTTTCTGCTAATCTCCTAAGGCCACTGTCTCCCAATTGCTAAAACAAACGCAGCTTTAAGTCTGAGTTTAAGACTCACTTGCCTCTCTGACAGAGGTTTAGTGTGTTGAAAAACCAGGGGATATTAAATCACCTCCTCCCAGATGGATCTGGAGGCTATATTTTAATTCCTCCAACTTCCCCTCGGGTCCTACTTTAAAATACTTCCAAAGGGTTGACCCAATTCAAAAGAGATTCCCTTGTTATCCATTTCTTGTCCTCATTGTCCAATTGTATGTTCAGCGTGATTCTTCTTTTCCAGTCCATGAGATTAGTTTTTCTCAATCTACCTGCTCAGAAAATGGGATTCGGAAGCAGCAGAATAGTCACAGGAACAGCAGAAGGTTCAAAGAAGCAGCAAGGAGGATCTGATTCTTATCTGCATTGACTGCATGATGACTGCTGTGATTTAAGGATTTTAAAAGACAGTAAACATGCTTTCCTGTCCTGGGCCTTGACCGTTATGGCAGCAGTGGGGGGAAAAAAACACTTCCTTCATACAAACTTTATTACCTTCAATATTTGGTCCTGACCTTGGTCAATCAAATACAAATTCAATCACCAGATCCTGCAGCACACTGAACTGTTGCATCGCTATGGCTGACTTTTAATTTGATGACTTATAACTGTAACCATCTGAACCAAACGTGGTTGAATGCCAGACCTGACAAATAATACCCATTGGATGGAGCACAAAGCAGGCATCTTGGCAAATGAAGAATCAACACTAAAAAAATTGGTTAAATGATCTTTAAACAACCATTTAACAGCATTTTTTTTGTCCCAAGATTTCAAGCTGTGTAACAGAAGTACATTTTACTGAAGACTTGCCAAAAAGACAAATGGAAACTGACAACACAAAGCTTGTGTGTATGAGCACAATAGGATCATTTCTATTATTTTTAACAGATTGCAAGTCCTCTGAAGTGCCAAGCATTAACTACAGAGCACAGCCTAAACAACCCCACACCTGTCTGACCTGTCACACTGACACTTGGACAATTCTATCATAAGTACTTGGTCACCGAGAACGACCCCTACAAAAACTTCTGTCTATGAAACACAACCATTGTCTACCCTCCTGGTCTAGTGAATCAGTCAATTCGTCTAAAGCATTATCTGCCACAGGGGTGGCCAAGCTCCATCTAAATACACCTACTGTATATTCTTATACCACTAGGTCAAGAAATGGTACACATAACAACTTTAATCAATATAGTACTATAAGTTACCTGGGCCCAATGGGCAACTGTGACCTTTGGAATCTTTGGGAGTTTCATTTCAGAGGATTCTTCTGAGGTGGTCAAAATGATCATGTTTCAAGGGCAGAAATTGGTGAGTTTGTGGTGAAGGACATGACACGGTGAAGGAAGTCATTTGATTGCATACATGGCATTTATAAATGAAACACTGAAAAACACTGTGCAATTATTTGGACATTTATAGCAAACTCTTAACTCGTTTGACAGAGAAATCGGAACACTCTGGAGAGGACAAAACAATGGAGTTCAAGAAGGACATGTACCTCATACTGCCAAGATCCTAACCTGAATAGTAAAACCTCTTAAAAAGAGGAAGATGAACTGTACACTAGGAAACAGGATACCTTCAGGCTTTCTTTCAACCTTTTGCAGCCCTTCAAGGTTTCAGCAAAACGAGAACTGTGCCCTTGAATGACTCGCGTTTAGCTCAGCCCCTGAAAGGCAGCTGACTGATAGAAACCAGCCACACGGCTCTCCAGACTCCTTCTTATAACTTTCGTATGATGCTCTACGATGTCCAGTGGTTCATCTGGAGGCGACACAGTATTACATCACTTACAGCTGTTCGCCCCATAAGCCTGAACATTATTTCAGTGTGATAGAAATCCCAGGATTAAGTGTTGCCATATTCCTTCAGTGCAAGAAGATGGGAAAACATGAATGTAACCTCTGAAGTCTACATTGTAATACCAGTGGACTGCTGGATAGCTAAGGTCTTTCACAACACTGCAATTCTGTGAAGCTCACAGACATTGGCTCCTGACCGAGTCACTGTTTGACTGCTCTTGACAGCCATAATCTCCCTTTAAATAATTCCCATAGCCTGCCCTGCTCCAGACCAAGCTAAATAAGACTTACTCCCAGCTGTCTCCCTGATTGTCTTGCTCAGTCATGAAGGAACCTTGGCTGAGTGGATTAACAGTTCACACAAAAGCAAGAGGTCAATATTGCTTGCTTTCCTTTATTTATTCAAAAGCGTGAGATGAGCAGGTGGTCAATAGTTCTGTGGTTTTACTACCTTGTATGCATTCATTGTCCATAAAAAATAACAGACACACAATGTCTTTAGAAGCGTGTATCAGTCTTTTCAATTCACAGGTAATCAGTAGAAGTCCCTTCACAGCAATCAGGGGAAGTGAGACTAATACGATATGATACGCTAGGAATATCTCATTTAAAAATCACATGTTCACTGTAGATTACAACATAACAGAAATGGATGTTATGGTTGATCAGTTTAGCCTTGAACATAGTAGGCTATGGGGGGATTTAGGCATTTTGAATTTTTCAAAGGT